TAAGAACACAACTCAACGTGGGTCATGGGTCTGAAAAGATGTGTATCTTTCAAGAAGCCCTTACTGAGAAAAGGAAAAAGACAATAAAGAGGATTATTTGCAAATCAAACAAAGAAGCTACTGGTGTTCTCAGAGCAATAGACTGACCACTCCAATTCCAGACTGCAATTTCATTGAATGTGTTTGGATTACTTAGATCGTAAGAAGCAGAAAATGCAACCAACTTCTAAGACTGAACTGTGGAGGTGTGGAAAAATATCCTTGCAGATTTCTTTGAAAACCTGAAAGCAAATCTCCTAAAAAAATGAAAGCTGTAATAAAGGCAACAAGTGGACACTACTAAATACTGGAAAAAATGATATTTAGTTGTTGAGGCTTCTTTGTAATTTTCTTTTTTCTGCTGTTTTCCTGATGCTGAATGAAAATGATGATGTGATGATGATAAAGTTAAATGACTGGAAATGACTAAAAATGACTGGAAAGTATTTAAAATGAACAGTGCAACATAAATAATAAAATATTACATTCTTTGTTATCACTGGCAACTTATACTGTGACTTGTAATGGAACTCAACAGCAAACTCTTTAAATAAGAGAGATGCTCATTTGTTTTAGCAAAATAGCATGCTGAATTCAAAAGGACAAAATGTATTGAGTTCTGCAAATGTATAAATATTTTTGTTAGATAGTTCTCTCGTCTCCAGCCATCTGACAGAATGACATTTAAGGCCTGGTCGTGTTGGAGAATCGAAAGAGGTGAGAACTGAGCTCAACTGTACAGTTCTGTCTTTATGTTATGCAAGCCCTTCTCACTCTCTGTTTACAAACTAGGACTTCTGGCATTGTCTCTTAACAAAGTGCCCATCAGTTATTGACCCAAACCTCCGTGTCACTCTGCTTAGCGAAGAGGCGCACGCAAAGGCCGGTGCAGAGTGACGTATGACCGTTCCTTCCCTTTGTGCGAAACAAAAGTCCTGGCTATCAAAGAAACTCGACACTGGCCAAAAACAATACATGCAATTAATGAGGTAAACATGCCTGACAGTGAAACGCGCTGGCACTGTAACCGCACTCCAGTAGCCAAATTCCCATCTGAGAGGGAAAACCAGGTCCACTGTGTTTCCGTTCTTGTCCTCGATTCCAGGTAATCCAAGGCCCTTTCTAAGAATCGCGGATACTGTCTGCTCCGGCCAAACCCGGAGGAATGGGAGCGGGTGCTATTATCTGACCATGCAAGGCAGGGATATGTCTAAATCTGTGCGGTTTCTCAATTGCTGACCATTGTAATTGCTGCAACTGAGCGCTGAGTGAAATGTCATAGTGCATGTTCTTTCTCCTTTCTGGCTTGGTTTTGCTTCTGATGGGTCCAACTCTGGGCTTTGTTAAACAAACTCACAGAATTAGAAGAAGTGCAGCCAATCACTAATTCACTTATCTGTACTTATCTACAAATGTGCTCTAGCAAAAATCCTATTTAATGAGAAATTGCAGTTGGCTGCTCAAGTCTGAGAGCTGTATGATTTTCAGGTAATATTTAGTTGGTATGCTTTATTAGAAAATAACTACAGCAACATAGACCAGTTCAGTAGCTTATCATTTTAAACAAGAAATCTTATGTAGTGATTCTAAACAAAGTGTGCTGCTATTGCTCATTAGATTGAGGCAAAGGGTGGCCTGGGGGGCCTAAGTCCTCTCACTTGTTTAGTCAGAGCGCAAGACGAATTACATTTTAGAACATTTTATTGGAATAGAAAGATTTTTTTAAACATTCTGAACCAAAAGGCACTGAGGTTTAATATCTTCATGTCTTTTTTCACCTTTAATAACAGAGATTGACAAAAGTCATCACCAATTTTCAACAGATGCTGTCACTATGGCAACATTTACTGCATGCTGGTCATGTACAATTGCTGTTTCCAACTGCATTCTGCTTTTTTTCAACAGCAACATTAAAAAACATAACATTGGCCTTCTTGACTGTTTCTGGAATTTTTGGAAATGAGCTGAACTGTGCTAGTACTAATGTGGACTACTACCTACCTAAATAGCGAGGTTGACTGTGGTAAATAAAGTTGAATCTAGCAAAAGAACAATGAGAAGGTCTTTAACCTTTCACCATAGATATCTACGCCTAATGCTGTAAAAGGTCGGCGTATGGTTAGTTGCCGTGTTATGTTGTCAGCTGTTATAGCAGTGAGACACAAAAATATGAGGTCCGCAATTGTGTGTTGTACAACCCCATTTCCAAAAAAGTTGGGACGCTGTGCAGAATGTAAATAAAAATAGGATGCAATGATATGCAAATTAAGTAAACCACATTTTAAAGGAGAATACTGCACAGACAACACATCAGTTGTTCAAACTGAGAAATATTATTGTTTTGTGAAAAATATATGACCGTTTTGAATTTGATGCCAACAAAATGTTCCAAAAAAGTTGGGACGGCGGCATGTTTACCACTGTGTTTTAACAACACTCTGTAAGCGTTTGGGAACTGAGGAGACCAACTGCTGTAGTTTTGAAAGTGAAATGTTTTCCTGTTCTTGTTTGATACAGAATTTTAGCTGCTCAACAGTTCGGGGGCTCCTTTGTCATATTTTTCATTTCATAATGCGTAAAATGTTTTCAGGTTGTGACAGGTCTGGACTGCAGGCAGGCCAGTATAGCGCCTGGACTCTTTTAATACGAAGCCATGCTGCTGTAATACATGCAGAATGTGGTTTGCCATTGTCTTGCTGAAATAAGCAGGGCCTTCCGTGAAAAAGACGTCGTCTGGATGGCAGCATATGTTGCCAAAACATGTATCTATTGTTCAGCATTAATGGTGCCTTCATAGATGTGTACATCACCCATGCCATGTGCATTAATGCCCCCCCACACCACCATGAATACTGGCTTTTGACCTGTGTGCTGATAACAAGCTGAGTGGTCTTTAGCCCGGATGATGCAGTGTCTATGATTTCCAAAAAGAATTTCAAACATTGATTCGCCAGACCACAAGACAACTTTCCACTTCACCTCAGTCCATTTTAAATAAGCTTGGGCCCAGAGAAGGTGGCAGCATTCCTGGATCCTCTTTATATATGGTTTCTTCTTTGTGTTTTAAAGTTTTAACTTGCATTTGTGGATGCAGCAACATACTGTTTTCACAGACAGTGGTTTTCACAGAGTGGTGAACTCCTCCTCATCTTTACCTCTGAAAGGCTCATCCTCTTTGGGATGCACTTTTTTGTACTCAGTCACGTTACTGACCTGTTGCCAATTAACGACCAGGTGTCTTTTTTAGTATTACACAACTTTACTAGCCTTTTGTTGCCCCCGTCCCAACTTTTTTGGAATGTGTTCTTGGCATCAAATTCAAAATTGGCATATGTTTTTCAAAAAGCATTAAAATTTCTCAGTTTTAGCATTTAATATGTTGTCGTTGTACTATTTTCAATGAAATATAAAGTTTAAATGATTTGCATATCATTGCATTTTGTTTTAATTTACATTTTGCACAGCATCCCAGTTTTTTTGGAAATGGGGTTGTATTTAAAATGAAATTCTGGGTTCGCCACTGACTTGAATGGGATTTTATAAAGCTTGTCCACCTGGCAACAAAGAAATACATTTGGGTTCTTAAACCAAGCAAACTGTCTAGGTTGAATAATCTTACAATATTCCATATTACATATTGGAGTTAATGAATTAGATCATTAAAATGGGCTCCAAGTGCAGACTTTCAGCTTTAATTTGAGGGTATTCACTTCTAAATCACATGAACAGTGTAGGTATTACAACTATTTTCATAGCCCCCCATTTTTAGTGACTCAAATGTAATTGGACAGATTATCATAATCATACATAAATTTGTCATTTTAATACTTGGTTGCAAATCCTTCGCAGTCTATGACTACCTGAAGTGTGGAACCCATAGACAGTACCATTCTACTTCTTTGCCTTAAAAAGTCTTTGATTGTTTCACAATGTGCCTCGGGTCACTGTCCATCTGCAGTCACACCATCAATAAAAACAAGGGAACCATTGTTTGGCACTCATACATACCCATGGCATGACACTACCTCCACCATGCTTGACAGATGAATTAATGTGCTTTTGATCATAATAAAGTACTTTCTTTTCTCTGTGCTTTTCTCTTGCCATCCTCCTAGTACAGGTTGATCTTGTCACATCTGTCCATAAAATGTTGTTCCAGAACTGTACAGACTTTTTTTCAGATGTTTTCTGGTGAATTATAATCTTCTTGTTTTTGAGGCTTCCCAATGGTTTACATCATGTGGTAAACCCTCTGTATTTACTCTGGTGAAGTATTTTCTTGATTCTTGACTTTGACACAGATACACTGACCCCCTGGAGATTGTTCTTGATCTGGCCAACTGCTGTGAAGGGGTTTTCATTCAGAAAGGAAATAATTCTTCTGTCATCTACCACAGTTGTTTTCTGTGGTCTTATAAGTTTTTTCATGTTTCTGAGCTCATCAGTGCTTTCTTTCTTCTTAGGACTGTAGCAAATAGTTGATTTGGATTATCTATCTGATATCTCTCTGGTTTGTTTAGATATTTTTGCCAATGATGGCTTGAAAAAACACACATACCTGACTGTGGAACCACAGAGCTGTCAACTGCCAGCTTCCAGGTTATGGTCTGACCTCTGAGCCCTTAAAAATAGACATGAAAATGGTTATAATTCCTACATTGCTCGCCTAATTTGGTTGTAAATACCTTTAAACCTGAAAATCAGCACTTTGAGCTCGTATTCATTTCATTAACCATAATTTGCTGTGGTAGACAGCTAAAATTACAAATACTTTGTCCAAATATTTATGGACCTGGCTGTATACTGACTCCAGTTGCCAATATATATTTTTTTCAGTAAGAAGAGATTAGTTGACGGTTAGTCATGTGTGCAGGGATTAGAGGAGGTCAACTGGCAAGCACAAACTAAAGGGAGCCAATGTTCATGGCTTAGAAAAGACAGAAGAGGCACAACACTGGAAATCGATTATTTAAAAAGTCAACTTTAATACAGTCTAAGAGTGAACAAGTGAACAATTAACATTTTTTTCTGGTTCATTTTTAATACTTTTGTACAAAATTCACAGTTTAAGTGATTCATAACTGGAATAAATACTCCAATTTATAATAATAATGGCGGTATGGAAAACAAACAACAAGCCAAAAAAATGAGCAACAAATATAAGGGAACAAACAAAAAAAAATACTAACAAGACTTCTAGGGTCCTTGAATTTAAAATAAACCTATTGGTCTCTTTAACAATGGTGTGAACATTGAGTGTTAAGGGGGGCCTATTGCTTGGAGCTGGCTAACTTAGCCAGATAATAGAAATGAGTTTCACCTGACGAACACATGAGAGTTCTCATGCACAAAAAGATGAAACAGATTCAAACTTAAAGATGCATGGATGTAGTGAATCAGTGGGAAACAGTAAGACAAGAAAAGCACCACCATGTAATGAAGTAGTACTTATCAGAGTCCGCTTGCCAACTCAGTCACTCTGCCGTGAGGAACCGGATCCTGGCAGCTGACTGTCTCTAGAGCTACTTAGAATGGATTTTACACTCGCTGGCAGCAAGCAGGGAATGGTGAGCTTTGTGAATGTGGCTCAGATCGGGAACACTTACCCTCGCTTAAAAGACCAGGTCATGACCTTATAGAGGGTACTCATGACCAAAGTCACTCTTATAAAATCTATAAAGTATGATAAATGGAGTGCTTGTGACTAAGGCACATCAAAAAAGTTGTCTGGAAGGTATAAAATCTGTACATGTTTCTGTTTTTGTCTTCGTGAACTATACCATAGCAAAAGGACTCGATCCAGTTGACAAAGGGGCTACCAAACGCTAACAATTACCTAAAATGTTTATCGGCAAATGATATGCAAACAGTCATGATCCCTTCAAAAAAAGTGAAACACATTATATAAAACAATAAAACAACACACGAACAAACACACACATTGGCATCAGGTCACTATGAAAGGATTACATCAGTGGTCCTATAGCATCTCTATGTACAATGAGCTATATCAAAGCTACTCTGGCTTGGTGATATTGTTGTTGTTGCTGCTGATGTCATTGTTGTTGTGATTGAGAATGCACAGGCCGTTCTGTTTCCTGAGTGCGCGAGGTATCACTTTCTTCTTCAAGAAGAGTCTCTGGAGGAACTTGTCACTGAGGCTCATGGGGAAGTAGCTGTGAATGAAGTACATGAGGCCCACGCCTGGTCCTGTGTAGTAGCGGACCTGAGGGTGCGGCGACAGCAGCGCCTCCACGATGGTGTTGATGACGGGGCTCAGGTCCTCGTTGGCCATTTTGGCATGGCTCTGGAAAAGCTCCTTGGTCTCCAGTATGTATTCCTCGCCATACTCTTCTAAAAGGCTCGGGGAGAGGTTCTGCAGCAGGTGCTGGTGCTGTTTCTCCCAGTACTCTGTGTTACTGCTCTGACCTGGGAAGAGCAAATGAGGGTTTTAAAACCATTTTTTTTCCTCCAGTGTGTTCAACATCAGTAAATAAGCAGTAATTGTGTGGTAAAATGTTAAGTGTGTTCTCTGTAGAGGAATTAATTTTCACTTAACATGCAATTTGACCAGGGCACCCAAACTTTTGCATATGTCTGTAAGTGATGTCATTCAAGTAGTCAAATCACTGACTGACATGTGAACCCTTAGTGGCCTAGAGTAAGTAATGCTGTTTATCTGTACAGTCAGTTTAATTTAGATATTTGCATGTAATCACATACTAACAATCACATATTTACATAATGACATAGTTATTACAGCATAATAATTATATTTAGACTGTACCAACGAGTTTCTGTCTATACTTCTGTAATTTTCCTGGTTGTTTACATGTCAAAGAAAAACAACGAAAAATGGCAAAAATGTTAAGGATGTCCAGCAAGTCTGTAGCTACTGTTATTTGCAAAAATTTTGGCTCTCTGGTCAAATTACATGTCTTGTTGATTTTCTGTGTGAAAATAAGTACAAGTACAATAACCCCCTCAAAATGCTTGACATGCCCTTGGCCATGTTTGTATTGCTCATCTATCTTAGTGTCCTCAACCACAAAACAGCAGTAAAGCAGAATGTTCTATCACTTTCACACATAACTGCTATTGTGTCATGCATTAGCAGAACTGGCATGGAGCTGTAGGCTGTGTGCCAGCATAATGGAGGGATGCTTGGCTGGAAGGATCAGAGGTGAATTAATTAAGAGGAATGTAAACACAGGTCCGGGCACACTTTATCCTGCTATTTCTCCAGTAATCCTCCAGAACTGCTTTTGGCAGCCTGGCCTGCTAAATTAGCGCTCGAACAAAGGGTGAAGTTTTTTAGTTAGCAACCGTACCGAACAGCCATGCGGCCAGAATGTAAACGAGATTATCAATTAAGAGAGCTGTAATGAAATGTCTGTTTTGTTTGTAATATCTAATCCAGATGTAATCCTGACATGCCAGAACTTCTCGAAGGTTTTGAAAACAGTACACGGCTCCGTTAATTTCTCTTGGCTGTGAATGGGAATGTTTATTGGAGCACCTGTTAAGCATTACTGAAACTGTTATGGAGGCAAGGAACCCTCATGTCTGTAATTTTTAGTTCATTTTTACTCTAATCAACATGTTTGTATTTAAACTCTGTAAGTATTGTGACGTGTTTCTTTAAAGAACTCAGATAAGTCAAAGATCTGGTACATAACTCAGTTGATCTTCAAACTCCGAATACAGAAGGAAAAAATGGCGCTCTCCCTCAGGCTAGCTCACACTACTCCTGCTAGCACTACACTGTGAAGCTTGCTATGGAAACATACTGCCGAACCTATCCCGGCCCTTCAAAATAAGAGTCCTTGGCAAATAAACAAGTATAGCGCTTCCTAACAAACTAATGTTTCATCAACCAATCATATTTTGATTTCCAAAGGGTGGAACCGATTCCCTCTAAATGTCCTAGATATGTCACTGAATACAAATGCTAGCCTGACAAATGCATTTCAGTTAAATTTTAGAAATGGAAAACTTTACTGAAAGAGACACTGTAAAATCGCTATATGCTAAAATATGTTAAGGTCTGTTACAGCGTAAAGCATGAAATGTCCTTTCCAAGCTTTGAATATCTGTATTTAATCTAAGACAGCAAAAAAAATGTTTAAAGTAAAAAGCTGTTAGCTGAGTGCTAACACACTACTAGAATTCCTTAGGGGCGCTAGCAGAAATCATAAAGGTGTTTTGATTTATGGCCTGAACTGAAGGCTTATCTCAAATGAGTGTCATGATTACCCATTTCATGTGAATGTCATGAGGTAAAGAACCACCCTCACTTTTTATGCGATTTCCAATGACTACAGTCAGTGTACTTCAGGCTGTACAACTGTTCAGAACCGTTTTCTCACCTGTCTTGAAGGCAGAGGGTAGGATGGTGGACACTTTGACTCCCCACGGCTCCAGTTCATGACGAAGTGTGTTGATGAAGAGATTCAGTGCAGCCTTTGAAGCCCCGTAAGATGCCAAACATGGGAAGGGCTGCTCACCTGCACACAATGGACGAGAAAGAGAGTTAGTGACGTAAGTGGGGGGAGAGGGTCAATGTGCTATAATGTCTTTAACCAATGATACTACCTGTATGGGCCTCTTTGAAAATTAGATGTAGGTTGGTAGTTTATTCCAAAATATAGACAAATTGCAGATTACAGTGTATATTCAATGTATCACTATTTTGTGTGCCCCTCAATTTCTTACTGTAATAACCACTATTAGTTTTATGGTAGTGACCAAATAATTCTTTGTGGTGACTGTATCATGTGTCTAAATGTTATCAACTTAGTATGTTAAAAGCTATTAATATTTCCTTTATTTACAGCACACTCTGGAAATGTGTTATGAAATGGATAAGCTGTGTTATCAACTGCCATTATCTTATTTTTCCTTTGTTAACAGCACAGGTAATATATTACATAAGGGACTATTACATAAAAAACAGTCCTGAAATCTGATATGCAAACACATACTGGCTACTTATTATTACATTACTTGCCGATACGTTTTTAGGTATGCACCAAAGAAAGCACACCACTGTACACCAGGAACCCCCAGTCTTTTGTTGTTAAATCTTGGCAGAGTGTTTGAGTTCCTGACACACATGGACAGGCTTGATAACATTTGATCCAGTGGCATAATAGCGCCGTTGTTAAAGGAAAAGGTGTGCCGTTAAAGGACAGTAAAGACAGTAGTTGGGCAGGAGGGGATCAGAGAGAGACGGCACAGGAAAACCAGCAGCCTGGTTGAAGTTAATTACAGGTTGCGGTGCTTTTCTATAAACATGTGGTTTCGCCATGGGGCGAAGAGGAATAAAAAGGGGTTTGTGTCTGAATTGCGCCGACTTAGCATTCGACAAGATCTGAAGCGCGTTTGACAATACAGAAATACAGCCCACCTGGAAGCAGGCTTAGAGGGACAGGTTCTAACAGTAGGTTGTGTTGAAGAAGGAAGAAAAGCATTTGGCCCCTATCGCACAGCAAGATCCCTCTGAAGGAGCTATTTTGTTGTTTAACAGGGCCCGACGCCAGCACTTTAGCCAGCATTCTAGCCAGCACTCAGATAGAACAGTGCCAGGCCGTTACTCGAATTGGCACAGCATGAGTAAACAGAGGGTGATAAAAATCAGCAGTACGGAGGGAAGGTAGAACATGGTGTATACATCGCACTCGTCTTATCTGTCAAAATACCGTTTTGAGAGCAAAAAGAGCGCAGTTCTCAAGGGAGGTAATCACAGGGCCCACATGAGCCCAGCTGATTTCAAAGCTGATAAGCATCTCAGGCATAGATGAGGGTTTGGTATAATGTCAGCCTTTCTATTTTTGCAGTGTTTAGAATGTTTGATCAGTACATTCTGACATTTGTCGGAATTCCAGGTCTTTAAATGGAATGAGACAGGATCTTTCACTTGTTAAAAGTAGGCCGATTAAACGATATGTGCATGTTTGTTTGTCTGTGTGTGTGTTTGAGCCTTTTTTACTGACACTTGGATATTTAGGCCCTGTCAACATAAGATACAGCCTACGATAGACTAACTTTTGTCGAGTCATGGACTAGTTATCATTTTCTAAAAAAAAATATTCACATATAGAAATTTAGGCCTTGACAACACAGCGTTATGTGTGCAATAGAGTTTGCATGACTACTTTTTAATAGTGAGTTGTTGAGGAATGTAGCAAACTAATCATCAGTTGTTATGATTATTATTATTTCTTTTCTGACTCCTTGCGACCATACGCATAGTGTTTCTCCACAATATCTTGTAATTTATTTGGGTCTTCAGGCTTCTAAATGGCTGGTTCATGATTCCTCTGATTGTATCTGTCTATCTTGTTGCAACCTTTTCCTCTTGCATGTTCAGTTCTTACAGCCTAATGGTTATTTCCAGTGAACTACTTCTCCTCAGATTATGTCCAAAACAAGACAGCTTCAGATTGGTGAGCTGGGCTTTAAGTTAGAGACTTTAGTCTTCCATCTCTTATGAAGTATTTCTATTCTAACAAATTGCGTTAGCTTTGTGTTTAATACTTGCATGCTAACTATCAATCTGGTTCATTTATATCATAAACCGATAAAAGTGCACTTCCTGAAAAGAACGCGGAGTAATTGCCCAGCTTAATCAATTCCCTGGTATCGCTAGAATGCTGCTAGATCATTACAAGGTTGTTGCTAAGTGATTGCTAAAGTGTTTCACATGGTTGCTAGGGTATGGCTAGACAGTTGCTATGTTATGACAGGTGGTTGCTAATGTGTTCGTAGGCAGTTGCTGTGGTATTTGTTGGTTACTAGGAATTTGTTAGGATATTCCAGGTGGTTTCTATGGTATGTCTGGTCATTATTAGGGTATTGCTTAGTAATTGCTAAGGTATTGGAGATAATTGCTTGTATATTTTTAGGTGGTTACTGTGTTATCTTTCATGATTTCTAGAGGGTTGTAAGGTGGTTGCTGTTGTATCCCAGGTGGTTGCTAGGGTGTTTCCAGTGTACTAGTACTAATAGCATAAGAGGGATGTATAAACTTTGGAACACCCATTTTTGGAGCATTCGTCTGTTTCCTATGGAACGTAAATCCAAATTTGAACAGGTAGTGGACAGAATTCTGGAAAATTACTAAAAAAACTAAAATACTAAAGTGCTGAGGATTAAAAGCAGGCACTCTTCCTGACTGGTCAATAGCTGCTCACAGCACCATTAGTCAACTGTTCGACTAATCTGTGCAACCTATAGAGTGCTAGTATTTATGTATATGCACCTGAAGGACTGGAGATGGTCACTATTCTGCCTTTGTTCTGTCTCAGCAGAGGAAGGAAGGTCTTAGTGACGGAGAGGGTCCCGAAGAAGTTCACCTCCATGCAGCCTCTGTAGTTGGCCATGAGGGACAGCTCAGCGTCTCCAAAGTTTACACAAACGCCTGCATTGTTCACCAGAGCCCACAAGCCTAGAAGGAGAGAGGAGACACAGTTAATTACATTTTAATATGTTGTCAATGGTCACCATAACTCTGATATGTGTAACTAACTCATAAACTCCAGGCTTATTATTCAATTTCTAAGGCTTGAAGTCTGGAGCTGCCAACAATTCCTTGGAGTTTAAGGAGTTAAAGTAGTCACAGCGAGGTTGCGGTTTCCCTCACTGGATGAATCACAGTCCAGTGAATCATTTTAGGCTCCAGACTAAGTTTTGAATGGAACCAACATGCTTTGGATGGACGGAAATAACATCATATTTCTGTTTTAATGCTGAATAGGCAGAGGAGCTCTTTCAGTTGCTGAGGATCATGCAGGACATACACGTTTCAGCCGTGACAGAGCAGCTGTTCCGTTTATTGCTTTGGGATGAACGCCCTCTGTCTTGCGCACACATGCACACACAGATCCCTGCTGTAATTCATCCTACATGTTCCTCTTTGACCACATCATTCATGAACATCTGGAGAGTTGGAGAAATATGCAGCGGAAAAGAAAAAGAGAGAGCTACAGGGAAAGCAATGTATGTTATCTGTATTTAATTAGCGCTGGCTGTGATTGTGTCAGATGTTTGGTGGGTCTCAGGCTCAGAAGACTGCAGCATGCTGGCTCTGTGATTTGTACTGTACTCTCAGCAATCCCCCCAACGGTGTTTCATGGCCGATTTTGCAAGCGGGCTGTTACATCATTTATGATGATATCTTTCCCCGATGCACTAGTGACTTTAGCATTGAGACAGTGAGGTAAATTACACCAAGCAGAAGAACCAAGAACTTCTGGAGTATTCATTTAGTGTTGAAGAGAGAGAGAGAGAGAGAGAGAGAGACAGAGAGAGAGAGAGAGAGAGAGAGAGAGAGAGACAGAAAGACATGAAGAAAGGGAGAGAAAGATAATAAAAAAGACAGGGAGAGAGAAAGAGAAAGGAAGAAAAAAGAGAGAGAATATAAAAAGAGAGAGAGAGAAAGAGGACAGTGGTAGTTAAAGAAAAAAGAAAAAAACAGAGAGGGAGAAACAAGATAAGAAAGAGAGAATAGGAAATAAAGAGTGAGAGAGAGTAAGAGATGAGAGAGGGAGAGACACTGGATGGAGAGAGAGAGAGAGTAAGAAAGAAAGAGAGAAAAAGAAAGCGGGGAAGCTGGTGGGGAGAATGAAAGAAAGAGGGGAAAAGAAGAGACGATGAAAGAGAAAGAAGGAATCAGAAAAAAAGAGAGAGAGACTTAGAAATAGTGGGAGATAGTAGGGAAAAGAACGAAAGAATGAAGAAGAACAAAAGAGAGATATAAGAAAGAAGGGGAGAGGAAGAGAAAGAGAGAAGCAAAGAAAGAGAAGAAAGACGGTCAGAGGACAATAGAAGACAGAGAGAAAGAGAGAGGACAAGAGAGAAATAAAAGAGTGAGATAGAAAGGGGAAAGAAAGCAAGAGAGTGTAAGAAAGAGACTGTGTGAGTGAAAGAAAAGAAAGAGGGAGAAATAGAGAAAGAGTAATAAAGAAAAAGTGAGAGAGAGATTATGGAAGAGACAGTCAGCGAGAGAGAGAGAGAGAGAGAGAGAGAGAGAGAGAGAGAGAGAGAGAGAGAGAGAGACGGTCAATGGTCATAACCTGTCCGTTCCTTATCTAGGCCTGTAAATAACTGCACTACTGCACTATTGGGAGTAACTGTATCATTCGATCAGAGAAAGTCACGCACTTTGCTAGTGTTAAAGCTTTGCTGCATGGTGGGTGATTATGAGTTATGACACATGAGTTACAAGTTCACACATATTACTCCCATTCATAAGAACTGGACCTTTCTCATAAAGGCTCTGCCCCTAACTTTGTGATCTATGACTTGTGGCAGTGATCTTTAATCTATAACGTTATAATGTAACTTATGTTGTCATCACTGTGCTAAGATGAATAAATCACTCTTTTCCAATTACACTGAGCTGTTGGGTTACATAAAAGTCAACCATGTGTGCAGATCTGATCGTTTGTTAACTGTCTCTTTCTTTCCTTCTCTGTTCTTTTTTTTTCATTCAGGAAATTATTTATGAATGCTGGTGTGAAATTATCATGACTATCGAGAAATGCTAAAAATGTTTTCACAGCCTGAGAAACCACAGGCAAACAGCATGCTTGTGTGAGTGTGACGCCTAGTTTGCTCTCATAGAGCGTGCAGTTCAGCTACAAGAGAGCACATGTTCTTTGGACTGGATGTGCGAATGTCCTTAAATCACTGTTCCAGTCTGAGTGATGAGTGAAGATGAGACAGGAACAAGCCATGGTTTCTTAGTTTCCTTCACTTTCATCTCAGTGGAACTTTGCAATCATCCTAATCGCAAAAAAGGCATGGGTACATTGCTCTTTAATCTCCCTTTTCTTTGGTAACCGTATCCTGAAATAGCCTCTAACTTGAGAGGAGAAAAATGACTTGCAGCCTTGTTTAGCCCATTTAATTGAAAACTGAAGTTGTTTGAAATAAAAGACTTTGACATTGTATGTAAATAGTGTTTAAAAACATGCCCCGTCCTTACAGTCCAGGGCCGTCCACTCTTATCCACAAATGGCTGGCATGGCTGCAGGTTTCCATAGCAAACACACAGGAGCTCACCTGATTTCACTTGTTTAATCAGTTAGTCTGAGTCTTCAAACGACTGATCGCATGTGCTCCTGCTTTGTAAGGAAATCTGCAGCCACACCGACCATATCTAAAAACTAAACTGCAAACTAAACAGGCTGTTTTGAATGAATTGTTTTTGTAACAAACTTATTAAAATATATTAAGTTTAGCCCCACCCATCCACACTGAAGTTACAAGGAGTGTTTCAGCCTGGACGAGGCACAATAGAGAGCAGAGGTTATTTACATATATCCTTCTTAAAGACACAATAACAAAAACTGCCTGTTTAATTCTGAGATATAAAGAGTGGTTGGAAAATGAATTATGCCTGTTCATTTGTGAACTCATACAAACATATTTATTGGACCTCAGGAAAAAAAAAAACATAAAATACAAGAAACAAGTAGGATATGGCCCCTCTAATGCTTGTGCTCAGAATGAAGAAAACAGAACGCTCTGATTGGTCTATTAGGCAACTTGCACTTTGCTCGTGTTTGAAAATAAAGCGAGCCCTTGATATGCCGCCAAGCCATACAGACACGGCTCAGCAGGAAAGGCCCCGCGTCAGCATGTGTCAGTGACCTTTTCTAAACTCTGCAATTACAAACACGCAGTCAAGCTGTCCTTAAATGACTCCCACAGAGTCAACAATAGTAGAGGAAACCGCCCAACTGAAGTAAATATGTGTTCGCCTTAAAAGGGACATTGCTATTCTGTGGCCTGTGTTTAATGTGGTATTTATAACACGATGACCATTCCAATAACAGAGGAGAATGAGAGAGATTAGTAAAGGAGCTGAAAAACAAATCGTTACTCAGCGGCATGCGTGTGCAAGTTGCAAGAGCATTCTTAAAAATGTTGTATTTTTGATCTTTTAAATGGACTGGCGATGGTCACTGTAGTTCAAAATGTCTGCATAAATCATTAAGATGTGAACAAAGTCAAAAATCAGACGTCCAAAAAGTTTAATTTGTTTAAAAGCTACCTCACAGAAAGGTATGCATGACATGTTATCATTACAATTTATGGTAGCTTTGAGAGAAGTTTTTGGCCTAGAATTGTGTTTTTTTAATTTATTTTAAAAAATATTAATAGCAGAGAGGTACATGCAGGGTGTTGTAGAGTCAAATGGTCCCCAAAGAAAACATATTTTTCAGATTTAGCACTATTTTATCACTTTTAATGGTAACACTTTAATTGGATAGTTCACTTTAGACGCTTTTGTAGATACTCAATTTGCTTTTAAGTTACATCCAACTAAATATCTACTAAATTGACCATAATTTTCTTAAACTCTAAACCTGGCTCTAATCCTAACCCAAACCCAAACCAACCCTTACCCTGGTCCTAGCCCTAACCCTGGTCCAAATCCTAACCCTAACCCCACCACTGTTTAGAATCAGCTGAGTTTCAACAGATAGTTTGTTAACAATTTATCTGTAGATAATATATAGGGGACTACAGTGGACTATTCAAATAAAGTGAGACCCTTTTAGCATTACCTATAAATATTCCTTTTTTGGCTTGTAAATAAAATATCCATATTTGCATTGTAGACATTGCTATCTCTGGTTCCTATCACCACCACTGTGAAGACGTGCATAAGCTTTGCTACGATACTCTGTTTCACATCAAACTACCCTGAATGACTTTGTTCATCTTTCAATGTTTGAACTGTGCAAACATTTGCATTAATTTTACTATTAACATCTTTGTGCCATTCCTCAAGAAAGCATGGCACTATGTAACTGACTTCTATGACTTTTGTAACTGATCAATTCTCTGCACCACAAATGTGTTCTTTTCTAACTGTTATGAGTTTGGATGATCTTTACAGAACATTGTCAAAAATCCATGACATATTTTGCCACTCAACTCATTTATTGTTTAAATACTAAAATGTAGCGTGAGTTATTCATTTCAAATGACAATTCTTTAGTCTGTGAGTGAAAGTTTACCTTCTTACCATAGGTTTGGTTTAGCCTTGTTGCTTAATCAAGCCAATATTAGCATAGTAGCATATTCACTGTTGTTAATGACAAATTTTCTTGATTCAGTTAGTTAAAACAACATAGTCCTACTTCTTAGAGTGGAAACTCAGTGTTATGTAGCATGTTTGCGCGTAAGTATGTGAACTCTACCTTTCATGCCAAGCTTGGCCTTGGTGTTGATCAGGGCCTGCTGGACCTGCTGTGGTTGGGTGATGTCCACCTGCAGCAGGGTGAGCCGTGGCGAGCAGGTGCTCCTCAGGTGCTTGGCCCCCTGTCCTTCCAGATCCAGCACTGTTGCGAACACTTCGAACCCCATCGCGTCCAAGTGCTTAGCCGTGGCATGCCCAAACCCTGTGTCACACCCTGCAGAGAGAGAGAGAGAGAGAGAGAGACAGAGAAAGAGAGAGAGAGAGACAGAGAAAGAGAGAGAGAGAGAGAGAGAGAGAGAGAGAGAGATTTATGCCCACAACCACAACACTTGAACATTTTCTGAGCAAGCTCATCTTTGTCTTGTCTTAGTCTGAATGTCTTCATCCGTAAATCTTATTGTCACTTGCAATTCATGACTGTAAGCACTATAATACATGACAGTCATAATTCAACTGAAAGAAACTCTTCTGGCAAGCCCAAATTAAGTTATAGTTTTGCCAAAGCAAAAAACTTTGCCAAATCACTGTCAAAAGTCAGAGACCATCCTTCATTTTGTCTAATTTTTCTGTCAAAACTGCATTTTCAAGTGTCAGAAAAAAACAGAAAACTTTATTTAAGAGAAAATTACATAGAAGCCTCAACGACTGAATACATATTTTAAAAATTAATTCTGCTATTTCCACCTTTATCATAGCTTCTATTCTTTTCCGAAGACTTTTTTTTCCAAAGGGATATTTTTCCACACCTTTAAAGTTCAGTCTTAGAAATTGGTTGTATTTTCTGCTTCACTCAGATCTAAAGCAGGAGTGGTGCTTGCTTTTCTTTCTCTCAAAGATGAAAGCTTTAAGTACTGTTGGTGGTATTCCCGGTCTTGCATGGTTAGGAGCCCCTTTTTCTCTTTTATTTTATCTTTTCAATATATTTTTTTAACTTTAGTTTTGGATATTGCGAAGGCTGATCTCTGACTTTTCACACAGATACATTACAGATATGCTTACACACTGCACTCTTATATGTATGTATGTTCAGTTTTTCAGAGTTCATCAAATTCACAGATATCTTCTTTGAATTCAAAGCATTTGTCTCAGATGTTCTCGTAACTTGGACAATAAAGGAGAACCCTTTTTTGGATGTTGACCACCATGAAAACTTTAGAAGTTGATTCTCGTCATGCTGAACCATGACTCCCGACCTCATGCTGGTCCGCAGATAGAGCACATCCAGCGGCATCATGCTTATATAAAGCCTTGACTCGCGGCTCGCTTGCCAGCAGCACTCTGTTCCCTTATCTCTAACTGGATGGAATTAGATGGCAATGATAGGGCCTGCTGATAACACTGTTGTTTCTTTGGTAACAGAACAGCAAAGCATTTCACACACACAAACAACAGGCAAACAGGCCTACTCATAAAAAGAGACATTTCTCGTTAAGCAGGGCTTTGAAGATGTTCACACGCAGGCAGAGTGTGTGTAACCGATCATGTGTTGTGGACGCAAATGAGGAGGGACATCTTAACACCCATGCTTTATAATCGTCATCTGCAAGTGGATAAACAGGTTAATACCAGGAACCTTTAACCCCAGGCCAATGAGGGAGTTTCACTGAAGACGGAATAAAAGAAAGATGTTCCGGGTGAGACGTTTTCTCCCCTTTCATTGTCATTCATAAATTTGAGTGTTTTATGTCTGTAATTTTGGCAAGTACAGACATCTTACAGATAGTACATCTAATATTTTGAGTTGGGAAAACATTGTAAGCATTGTACGATTATTAAAAGACTTATTTAATATTATTTATAGAATGTAAATAATACTATATAATGAATAAAATCCATGGGCTTAGCTAGTGTGTTCATGGTTGTGATATCTTAATGAAATGGCAGCTTAGTTTCCATTAGTCTGGACTGTATGGACTGAGAACTGATGTTTACATGCTATACTAAACATTTTATACCAAAAAAAATGCCAGGAAAAAATACAGAAAAGTCTGTTTTCCATGATACGAGCCCTTTAAAATGAGCATAAATGTCTAGAAATTGGCTGAATGATCACATAATAATCTTACAATTCTCTTGTAGTAAGAAATGTTAGTTATACTGCCTACATTCAGGATGTTTTCATTTATTATTTTTTCCTGTCTATGGTCCCAGTCAAACTAGCACTCCATAAATCTCTGAATCATGTTGTACATTTTCTCTGCATGAGCTCGCAAAACAAGCAGTAAAGCTGCAGTGGGAGACTTTGTGGGTTCCGCAGTGTGTCTTGGACTGTAGAACACAAGCTGATAAGTCATCTTGGAAATGTATGCATGGCCTTTATTTTCACGTTTTTATACTCCGTTTGAATGACCCACAAAGCTTTTAATGCCCAATTGACAGGCAAACAAACGCCAATTGAGCTGAAGTGCAATAATAAAAAGCTTCCAGTTGGATTTTACAGGCTTCCTTCATGCACAGCATAACAAGGTCAATGCACTCGACCTTTCCCCTGCTCTGTATATGTGTGTGTGCATAAGTGCTGCATACTGTACATAGAGTGACTGCTGTTATCGTAAGAGCGCACACGCCTCCCATGATTTCAAACATTCTTTTTTTTATCTCAAGGTATTCTGAGGACATGGTGCAATCTGGCCAGCCCTTGACCCTCACATTCCACTTGCTGGTAGATGAGAGTAGATGAGCACAACATTTGCTCTAGTTGTGTGCCAAAGCTTCATGGGGGATGTTTGTGCATCTGCGTTGGGGCACACTATTCAAAGATTAATAGCCACAAGAGAGTAAGAATTTTGCTCTGCTGTGCTGTCCGAAGCCAACATGCACTGCTGTGCTAATGTCATTACCTGTAATAAATAATGAGAGCATGACTTGCCATCATTTCTCAAATGTAAAAGAAAAAAATAAAAAGATCTATGATGTTCTGAAGCAATCATACATTATTTAAGTTGTTCACACTGATTTATTTAATTTCTGGTCAAAATCAAGTTATTCAGGAGATGTTTCTGAGAAGATTGGACATGAGACAGTCCACTTGGATAAGGTAGGAGAACATCAAAGGCAAAGTAAAAAATCTTGCTTTAGATCTGAAAAAATCCACAGGTGTTTCTGTCCATCCTTCCACTGTGAGAAGACAACTCAACACTATGAGTCTGAAAGAATGTGTAGCTGTCAAGAAGCCGTTACTTACAAAAGCATATATTCTTTTTTCTCAGAACAAAGACTGACCATCCCAAAATCCAGACCTCAGCATTACTGAATAGTAAGAAGGAGAAAATACAACCAACTTCTCAGACTGAACTTTGGAGGTGTGGAAAAATGAATATCGTGCACTTAAAGGCAGTTTTGACTAGACATAAAATAAGAACGTTGTTCTATTATTTTTGCACATACTGTATTTTTATATTATAAACAGCTGGTGTAAAAATATTTTTTAAAAAATGTATCATGTGTCATTGCAGTTTGTTTCACTTGCAGAAAATCCGATGAAAGCTGTTAAGCAGTTAAGAGTTAATGATAGAGCTGGGCAACAAGACAATGTATATCGTTATCGTGATAAACTATGTCACGCTTTTCTAAATATGTCATGGATATCGTCACTACTTACTTACCAACTGCATGTTTCTTTATAAAGAAAGCTAATTAGTTAGATTTTGTGCAACATAACATGCCAAATATTGAATAAAACTCTACGTATTGACAGTTTTGATTGTGTTTTTAAAATGTAGCATTACTGCTTCTTTTTTCTCAGTTCCAACTGATCAGATGAAAAGATAAATGTTGTGACATATCGTGTATCGTGAAAATGTCTTGAAGTATCGTGATATTATATTTTTGCCATTTGCCCACCTCTAGTTTATGATTTTAACACAAATGATGTTTATGATTTAGCAGTTTTCTTTTCTGAGGGCCTGCAGCACCGCTGTCTTCAGCTACTTTTGTGGGCTGAACTTCATGCACTGATTGTGCTCGCCAGAACTTGGTTGCAGTTTCTTTGCTAAGAGCAGCAACAATTAAAGGAACTATATTTTTATGCTTTCACAGCAACTTTACATTCCAGTTAATGTGCAAGCAGAGCCTCACTCACAGATGCAAAATGTTTGTAGTCCATGGGTTACTTTGTTGCTGATGTATGATTTTGGTTTGAATCCTCCTTATTTGCTTCTTTTAGGTTGCCCTCGTGTGACATCGCAGTGACCCACAGCTGTGGCCTGTGTCAGGGTGCAGGGTTATATAAGGAGTGGCATGGATATTTTGGGCGACTGGTTGAGTGTATCACTTCACTCTGGGATGAACTGGGATCTGGACTGTCTCCAGGGACATTGAGTAAAGGAAAAGGCCTGCCAGAACTCTAACGGGGCAGAGAAGGAGGAGCAGAAACACATACACATGCTTAAGCATGCACACTCATCTCTTTTTCGTGCTGCCTCTCAGGTTCACTGGAGTATTTCTTTCATATTGTTCTATTGCTAGCTTGCGTTTTCTCAGCATACACTGAAACACTATCGCGGCGGCACTTCAAGAGAAGATCCATTAAGGGGAACGGCTGTGAATGACTTGCTCTTATGCAACAGCTAACAGGTCCCGGGCTGGAAAAATAAACAGACACACACACACACACAGATCGCTGTGGACGTAAACACAATTACAGGCCCTTATTCTGATGGATCAGGTTTCCTATCATAAAGGCTGTACATGTGCAGTACTGAGAAGACCACCCTTCCTTCATTTAATCTCCAATCAAAACAAATGTACCATTAAGTACAAGTTATTCCTTTTTCAGGAGATATTTCTGAGAAGATTAGATAAGGAAGTTCAAAAAAATCATACAGAGAAAATGGGGCTCCTATCATCCGTGCAAGACCACCAAAACTGTCCCCATCAGATAAACAGTACTAAAAGCTTTCATCTTTGAGAGACAGGAAAAAAATATCTGCTCTTTTTTCAGATCTGAAAATCCACAGGTGTTTCTGTCCATCCTTCCACTGTGAAAAGACAACTCAACACTATGGGTCTGAAAGAATGCATAGCTGTGAAGAAGCCATTACTGGGAAAAAGAAACAGATAAAAAAGAAGAAAATTTGCAAATAAGCTGCTGGTGTTCTCAGAACAATGAACGGGTCAACCCAGACTCTAGACTTCAACGTTGAATGTGTTTGGGATTATCTGAATCATGAGAAGCAAAAACTGCAACCAACTTCTAAGACTGAACTTTGCAGGTAGAAAAACCAAGGCTCCTGAAAAGTATAGTAGCTGTAATAAAGGCAGAGTGGACACAGTGGGAGGCGTGGCCATGCGAGCAGCCAAGCACGGAGATTCATGGTAGGTGCTTAGCCTCCTAAAAAGTGGCTTTAATGTGTTTGAATGTAGTTGTGTGTTAGTGTAATGATGTGTTATGTGTTATTTGTGTTATTTTGTGTTGGGGTGCAGGTTTACCTTGTTGTTAGTGTTTAATGTGCTTTATGTTGGGAATTGGTCTACCGTCAGGGTGAAGCCTGTGGCTTTCTGCCCTGGTGTTTAATAAAGAGCACTTCTCGTTGTGGAAATCATAGCCTCCCCGATGTCTTACTCTGCACCAACGCTACAATGTTATATTTAGTTTTTGAGCTTTTGTGTAATTTTCTGTTAAGTTCATGTTTTCTGTTTTTTTCTAATGCAAAATGACTGACATACACTCTACAGCATATATGCTTAATTGGATGAAATTGTGTCACTTGACCTAGTCAGCAATAGTGCCGGGCTGCAGAGGGTGAAGATGTGTGGGAAGTCACGGAGCAGATGTAATGTTCGTAATGTCATGATGTACCAACAGATGAATGTCTGAGAAACAAATCTGCGTGTGTGTGTTTGCGTGTGCGTGCACGCTTGCATGTGTGTGGGTGCGTGCGCGTATGTGTGTGTGCGTGTGGCATTAGGAATTCACACCTCTACAGTACGAGTACCTTGTGTTCATCATGACTTGGGTTGTCATGGAGTTTTGCCAGCGTAAAAAGGTGAGAGAGAGAGAGAGAGAGCGAGAGAGAGAGAGAGAGAGAGAGAGAGAAACAGAGAGAAATAGAAAAGAGAAATAGGTTTAGAGAGAGAAAGAGAGAGAAAAAGCAAGAAAAGGGTAATAGAAAGAGAACAAAGGAAAAAGAGAGGAAAGAAAGAAAGAAAGAAAGAAAGAAAGAAAGAAAGAAAGAAAGAAAGAAAGAGTGGGAAGGAAATGATAGGTGTTGAGGAGGACTGATAAAGTCAGAAATAGGGGAAGGAGAGACAGAATCACAGAGAGGGGGGGATTAGGAAAAAGAGGGAGTGAGAAAAACAGATAGTGACAAAGAGAGAGAAAAGAGTAAAAAGAGAAAAGGAGAGAGAGTGAGAGAAAAAAGAGGGAGCAAGAGAAAGATAGTAGAGAAAAGGGCAGTAAAAATGGAAAAGGAGAGTGAGTGCGAGCGAGAGAGAAAGAAAGAAAGAAAAAGAGAAGAGAGAGAGAGACTGATAGGCTCGCGAAGTGCAGCCAATAGCACTTAGCCTGTCTTTCTCAGAGATGAGAAATGGTGTCTGGAGCAGCATAAGACATTAATCTATATTTAGACTATATAATTGTTTCCCGGCATGAAGGCTAATATGCATCTGACCGAATGATATTTATTTAGGCTTTAGTGTTGCTCTTGGCTGCGCTGCAGACAGGGAGGACTTCAATCACACTGATGGTCGAGAGAGAACGAGAGAGAGCAGCAGCTGAGAAAAGAGATTATATCCTTGATATTTGCAATGTTCCTCCAGTACACTGGCCAGACACAGACAGTGGTCAATCTGTGGCCAAGCTAAATGTGTGGCAAGTTGGGACTAACTCTGAGCAGTTGATTCAGCAGTCCTGTGACTTAGCCTGCAAAGAATGCCAACCCATTCACTTGCCTTTATAAGAGGTTTAACTTATTTTCCCCTCCTGCTTTTTAATTTCCAGCATTGAAGAGTGACGTACCGCAGGTTTGAGAAACAGCAATTAATAGGAGTTGATGTCTAATAAAAATACAGCATTCATTTCGAAAGGAACTTTCCATCACTTCAGCGTACAGCTGACCAGCTTTAACCCCTGCAAAGGCCTGTATGTGGACTCCTCATTCATAACTACAGCAATGTGCAAAAGATCACCCTTCATATATTAAAGTTCCAGTCACAATACAAATGATTCATTTTTCAGTATAGTTTTTCAGCATTTGGTGTGTGTCATTTGCATTTATTACCATTCTTTTCAGGAGACTTGCTTTTAGGTTTTCAAAGAAATCTGCAGACATATTTGCCACACCTCCAAAGTTCAGTCTTAGACGTTTTTTGGATTTTCAGCTTTTCACAATCCAAGTGATCCCACACATTCAGTGATGCTTGAGGTCTGGACTCTGGGGTGGTCAGTCCTTTGTTCTGAGAACACCAGCAGCTTCTTTGTTTTGTTTATTAATTTTCTGATTTTTGGTCTATTTCCTTTTCGCAGTAATGTAACTACATTCACACACAATAAAGGCCCTTTTTAGGAGGCTGAGCACCTACCGTACACCTCCGCGCTTGGCTACTCGCATGGCCATGCCTCCCAAGCTTCTTGGGAGCAGCAACGGCTACAACATCATTTTTTTCAGTAATTAGTGTATTCACACTGCCTTTATTACAGGCTCTATACTTTTCGGGAGTCTTGCTTTTTCCACCTCCAAAGTTCAGTCTTACAAGTTGGTTGCATTTTTTGTTCCTCATGACTGAAGTTATCCCAAACATACTCACTCTGGGTTGATCCTTGCATTGTTCTGAGAACACCAGCAGCTTCTTTGAAAATTTTCTTCTTTTTTCAGTAAAACTTTTTTTTAGTTTTCTCAGTAATAACTTCTTGACACATCCTTTTAGAGCCATAGCATTGAGATGTCTTCTCACAGTGCAGGATGGACTGAAACACCTGTGGATAATCAGGTCTGTAGGAGGAATGGTGCTTGACTTCTTCCTGTCTCTCAAAGATGAAACCAATAAGTCTCGTTTCGGAACCTGTTTTTTCACTTGTTTTCCTTTAACGTTCCCCTTCCTGATGCAAGTGGATTATGTTCTATTTTATTTCCTCATTAATATCTCCTGAGAAATGAATAGTAACAGTTGTTTTGACCCAGAATAACTGCTGTTGATTGCAGTTTAAGTGGATAAGTAAGTTATGCAGGGCTGTTCTTGCAAAGCAACAAAATAAGTCATTAAAAGATAAATAAACAAGGATATACCTAATGAACTATTCAAACCAACAGAAGCCTTTCCAGCACGAGGTTCTGGGTGCCAAGTCCTGGCAGCTTGTGTGTGCGTTTGTGTTCTCGTGTATGCCAAGAAACTCATGTATGCGCAATGAGTGGGAGCATGTTTGCATGGCTTGGGACATACTGACAAATTCCTCAAATAAGAAGGGAGGGGAAAGCCTGTGGTGCGGGACTGAGGATTTGGCCCTGGTTGCCATGCCAGTAGACAGCTTTTTATGGATTTAAGGAACCCAAATGAGATCTTTCTCAGAACCTCACCCCCCTTTTCTAAACCACGGTCATAATCTCCCTTGGAACATCTGACCAGGCGCAAACTGGTTTTGTTAAATTAACAACTCCAACGCAGGAGCTTAACAGCTACCTGCCAATCCCTCAGCTCAAGAACTTTGATACTTTCCCATTTTGACTAAACAAAGTTCTTTGGTTACATCTGCGAACTTCTTAACCTTCACCATGAGCTGCCCTACCTGCTGAAAGTGTAATTTACCTACATTCATAATAGTAACAGTGCTTTGGAGTGATACCATACATTCAGTTTGGTGGTTGTTTAACAAATTCAGTTGAAACCACTTTGAAACCATTGGAAGTTTTCTTAAAGAACCAATTGTATTTCTTCTATGGCATCACTCCAAAGTGCCTTTTTTTGCCACGTTTACCTTTAAGATTGTATGGAAGGAAGTGAAGGCAAAGTTCAAAAAGCTGCTGTTTCACTCAGAGTGTGATTCAGGCAGCAAGAAGTAGATAAGAAGTTATTTTTTAAGTGGGGCCCAATAAAAGGGGGAAAACCAAACAAGTTTCTAAGCTGGTGGGGATAGCATAACCTACATTTACTCACAGGGCATTTTTCTCTTAGGGCTGCTGATTAGAAAGCGTGGGTTGTGGATTTGATCCTGTTTGTGTATCATGGGATATGGACCTTAAACCCGAGGACTGCAGGTGGCTTTGCCCTTGAGGCACAAGCAGGTGGGCTTTATCATATGTCATATCAAATAAAAGAAAATCTCTTCCTGGTTGTCAATGTTAATGTAGGGTTATAAAATACACCCAGAGCTATATTGTATAATTTTCCCATTATACTGGATCTGGACCTTTAGGTAAAGCATATAAGCTTAAGAGAGGGGCGGGGGGGGGTGGTGAGTGAGTGAGTGAGAGATGGAGACAGAGAGGAAAGAGAGAAAGAATGAGTGAGCAAAAAAGAGAGAGAGATAAAAAATGAGAAAGAAAGAAAGAAAGAAAGAAAGAAGGAGACAAATAGAGGAAGAGGGAAAGGAGGGAGAGAGAGAAGAAAGAAGGAGAGAGAGAAAGAGATACAGAAGGAGACGGAAGGAGGAAGAGAGGAGAAAGATAGAGAAGAATGGGTGAGTGAAAAAGAGAGAGACAGAAAGTGAGAACGAGGGGGACAGAGAGAGAGAGAGAGAGAAGAGAGAATAATTGAGAGATAGAGAGAAGAAAGAGAAGAGAGACAGGAGAGAGAATGAGTGAGTGGGGGGGAGAGCACTCTGAAAATAATTTTATTACATAATATGAATAATGTGTGCTAATCTATGTGTTTTCATTAGGGGGCACAGTTTTCACTTCAGTCACTTGCATAATCACATGTTGCCATAGAGCAGAACATCATCCATGTTTTAGCTTTATTTCTGCATGCAGCCTTGCAGCTGTGTTGAGTGTGATGCTTAGTAGCCAGGCAATTATTTGGAGGTGTTCAGGCTGCTCTGGGGGCTTTAGGGGATAATGAGTGTTTTACATTTTCCGAACTGAGCAATAAACGTCTAAATTAAAAGCTCTGCTAACTGGAGTGGTTCTTGTTCCAGTTCAAACACAATCACTCCCTTTGCTGTCATATAAATCAACATATTAGTACAGTTTTTGTGCAGGGACTGCACTGGCATCAGCGTGGTGCAGCGAGATCAGCTTGGAAGAAATTACACGCACACACGCGGTTGGTGGGGTAAAAAGTACTGTTCCTGGCCAAAACCTTTACAAAGAAAAAGAGCTTTCTGAAGCGGAACTTGGAGACTTGACAAAATGTGCAAAGCTCTCCAAATTCTGGGAGCTCCAGGATTTCCCAAATGTTTTCAAAAAGTGTAATGTCTAAATTAGAAAATGAATATATAACCACTTCCTCACCCCACAGCACCCTGCCTGGACACCCATGGGCGCAAGTGGGCATGAGGAACATATGGAAGTTGGGGACTTTAGTTGCATAAGGCTGTTTAAGTGGAGCTCAGACGAGCTCATCCTATTAAAAGAGCATCAAAACACTTTAAAATACACCCTAGTTGCCCCAACAGGGCACCTGCTATGTTTGAGTTCACAGATGAAATCAGAAGTAGCTCCAGGGTGACAGTCGGAATGTTTACATTCTGAACGTGACTCGGTGTAGATAATGTCATTCCGCTCATTGCTGGAAGCAGATAATGAGGGTTGCTTGAAAAGAAACTGTGCACGCTGCACAGTCTGTACCGAGTCATTTTAATAGGGCAGAGAGAGACACACAAAAAGATAGCACAATCTGTTCTGTGTCAGGAGTGCTTTCAAAGAAGTGTTTGTAGGCGACCATATCTAATCTGGTTCAGTGTGCCCTTAATGTTCCTGATGTGACTTGACTTGAAAGGCTTGTTTTACAGTCATTTTTTTTTTAAATAACCTAAGCAATAACAATCAGGACAAAGTGTTCAGCCTGGGTCTGAGCATGCAGGTTATTTTGTCAAGTATAATTTATGCAAAAAGCTTCATTTCTAGTGTTTTTTGAACAGTTATTAGAGTTTTGCACATTGAACATGTTGCATGCATTAGAATAACAGCCATACAGGCAAATATGATCCACTGTATATCTGTAAAATGCCTGCATGTTTTCAATGTACAAGCTGTGGCAACTTTATGTCTATGTCTCTCTCTCTCTCTCTTTTCTCTGTGCAGAAATCAGACATGCGGAAAGGAACAACAAGTAATCAGTGCAGATGGAGATATAATTAAGTTATATTATGTAGATCAAGGTACTCAAACAGTATCTCTCTATATGCAGAGTACAGCTCTGTGCTCTATCTTTCTCTCTCTCTATCTCTTTCTCTCTCTCTCTCACTTTTTCTGTTCTCTCTTGTTTTACTATTCAACTCAACTCAGAGAAGCTTTATTGGCACAACTATTACAAAGTTATAGTGTTGCCATTGCATTTAAGTCTGTCATACATCTACTTCTCTTGCCTCTCCTTACCTGTAATGAAGACCGCCTTCCCCTCCACGGGCAGAGTCGGCGCCGGGGCAGCCCAGGTAGCATAGAGCCAGCAGGCAGCACAGAGGGCAGCCAGTGCCAGGACAGCAGGCATGCAGAGGGCACACAGCCTCTCCACCAGGAGTGTGGCACCAAGCCATGCCACCAGAGAGGGCATGGCACTCACATGGGACGCCAGGAACTTCTTCACTGTCCCACCGACAAACACCGACATCACACCCATGTAAATCCAGAAGGAGAGAGCATAGTCGTCCATTGTAATGGGGATGAAGTTGTGGCAACTCTAAGCCTAAGTATCTCTCTCACTCACTCTCTCTATTTCTTTACTTTAGCTCTGTTTACCTCTCCAACTGTCTCTGTGCCACAAGCAGCTCTGTGTAGTTTCTTTTCTCTCTCACTCTCTCTCTCTCTTTATCTGTCTGTCTCTCAGATAGATCACAGCACAAACATGTGCTTGCTCTTGCTCTTGCTCTCAAGTACTGTGCCCAGAAGCCTGTGAGTAGACACACACTCGAGTGTGCACCACGCGGGGCCAGTGAATTGGCTGTGCCGGCTGTGTGTGCATATATATAGATCTGCATGAGGGAGGGGAGGGGCTACTCTGATACAGATCTAATCAGAGCACAATTGCCAAAGTTTCATTACACTTCAAGCCCCCACCTCCTGTCCTCCCTCTCTCTCTCTCTCTCTCTCTCTCTCTCTCTCTCTCTCTCTCTTGTCCTCTCTCTCTCTGTTTTCTCTATCTCTCTTGCCCTCTGTCTTCTCTCTCTCTCTCTCTCTCTCTCTCTCTCTCTCTCTTTGTCCTCTCTCTCTCTGTTTTCTCAATCTCTCTTGCCCTCTGTCTTCTCTCTCTCTCTCTCTCTCTCTCTCTCTCTCTCTCTCTCACTTGTTTACTCTTTCACTCACGTACTCACCCACTCACTCTCTGCCCCTACCCCCAACTTTCTCTCTTTTAAGGCACTTTTTCTCTTTTGTCTTCTCTCTCTCTTGCTCTCTGTCTTCTCTCTCTTTTTCTGTCTTTCTCTCTCTCACACACACTCATTTTCTCTTTCAGTTGCAGTCACTCATTCTCTCCATTAATGACTCTCACTTTCATTCTTTCACTCACCCACTCACTCACTCATTCACTTACTCATTCGGTCTCACTCTCACAGTCACTCTCTCTCTGCCCCCACCACCGACTTTCTCTCCCTTAAGGCACTTTGACTAAGTGCTGATTGCTTCTCTCTCTATTTCTCAACTCACTGTTTCTCACTCTCTCTCTGTCTCTCTCATTCTTTCAATCTCACGCTCTCTTTCCAAGAATACATGTCCTCTTTTGGCCTTTTTGCCCCTCCTTGTCTGTGCTGTCTTTCTAATTGTGCTGAGTCTTATTTTGTGGGGGAGCTCCCTCTCTCCAAACAGAGCATGGCTGTTTCACTGAGGCTGAACCCATCAGGGGCTCTTCACCGTAAAGCTTGCAAAAAAGGCCTCTATTGTTCTGTTGGAGTGGTTAACAGGTGGGCAGTTGTCATTAAGACGTCTGCTGGGTCTCCTGCGGCAAGCCTCGGCCTGTTTCTCCGTCTCTCTGACTGAGAAGACCATGAAGAGTGATCCATTATCAGCCCTCTTTAATCATCATGGGCTTCTGGTTCTGTGGGTGTGGGTTTGTGTGTTAGGGATAAGTAGACTTGTTTTGTCTTCAGGATGTACAGTCACAGGTATAAAACACACATTTACGCACATTCACCTCCCATGTTCATGAAGTAAGAAGGCAAGAAAGAAGAACAAGTGAGTAGGAGTAAGTCGGCTAGTACATTTGTTGCTGGAGCAGGCAGGTTTACACTACACAAAAATATGAAAACAAACCAGTTCTGTCAGTTAAAGCAGCATGTTTTAAAAAGACATTTCATCTAATTGAAGATTTTATTGTACATATCGATGGTGGAAACAAAACCTTGTATCTCCAAAATGATAACTTTACAGGAGAAAGAAAAAAATGACTTTACTTTTAATGTAAATCAGTGGAACCAGACTTTTTTCCAAGCCATTTTGGGCCGTTTGTTTTGGTTCAATATTCATGAAATTTACACACAACAAAAATGACTACAGGCACTTTCAAGTTATGTCAAAAACTTAAAAACATCAAAAATGGAGATACAAGGTAGTGATATATATATATGTACACAATATTGTGCAAAAGTGACCACCATTTAATTTATTCAATTCCACTCAAAACGGCCATCAAATGCAAGTTATCCATTTTTCAGAATTTGGAAAACAACATACATACAACAGAAAATTACAAAGAAGCCTCAGCAACTGAATATACTATCATTTTCAATATTTGGTGTGCCCACTCTTTACCTTTACTACAGCTTCCACTCTTTTTGGGTGACTTGCTTTCAGTTTTTTTAAAGAAATCTGCAGGGAAATTGTATCACACCAAACTTTAAAGTTCAGTCTTAGAAGTTGGTTTAACTTTCTTTTCTTGGTTTTCTTGCTTTAATTTGCTTCTCACAATCCCAATTAGAAATTTAGACTCATCAGTGCATTAAACCTTACTTCACATTGTAGTGTTCTGGTGCACATTTTCTTCTTTCTTGTCTATTTTATTTTCTCAGAAATTACTTCTTTACAGCTACACGTTCTTCTCACAGTAGAAGGATGAACAGAAACACCTGTGGATTTTTTCAGATCTGAAGCAAGACTGGAGCTTGATTTTCTCTCAAAGATGAAAGCTTTTAGTGCTGTTTATCTGATGGTGGCTGCTTTGTTGGTCCACCAGGTCTTGCATGGTTGTTTCGCATGGTCCACTTATTTCTTTTCCTCTTCCTCATGCAAGTGTATTATTTTATATCTAATCTCAGAAATGTCTCCCTTTATCCATCTTAGATGCACACAAAAATAGAAATTTGCAAGGCATCTAAGGTGTGTTTGGGTAGTTGCTTGAATGTCTTTTTGAAAGAGGACATAATGTTTATTGGGGGGGACACAGCTGTAACTGGTTTTAAGACTGAAAGGATAGAGTTATAGTGGCAGCAGAATGCACAACATTAAAGAGTAGACAAATTAAATGCTAATAAATCTGATGTCATTCTTAGTGTTGGAATGCTTTTGTGCAAAAATGCAACCAGTGTCTAAGACTTTGGTTGGAATTTTGATTGGAAGTTGAACAAACGAAAGGGTGGTCCCATGAGTCCTCAAAGCTGCCCCTTGAACTGGAAGACAGAAAGAAGAAACGAACATGATGAGAGAGAATGTGGGGGCATTTAGATGGTGGGAAGGAAGACCCTGCTGACATTGCCCCCAGTTACTCACCAGGTGTATTATTTCAAGGCCAGTTTATGACCCTGTCTCTCCCTCTGTCTCCCCCTCTCTCTTTCTCCCTCTGCTTTATACTAGCAGGTGGACTAAGCTGGCGTTAGTGACTTTGCATGTCTCTCCCATCTTTGTAGCACATACTGTTCCCTGACTCTTAGTGACCTTCTGAGGACACACACACAGCATGCTGCACACTCTCCCCCACACACATGCATGTCACTGCCCTCATCTAACTCAGCATACATCAGGGAACCATTGGAACCATTGGTATGTAGACTTCCTGTGCTAATCTCTGCTGACAGAAGGAATGGGGACATAGTTTGCAGCCGTGAAATGCTGTGATGCCTGAATTTCTTCTGTAGGTTATCTATGTGAGGAGCTCTCAGAAATTCTACTAATGAGATAAAAGTAGCAGTCTGAAATCTATTGAAAACTGTTTATGAGTAGTAGTTGCTTGAGTAGAAGCAAGGAAGTTACACTGTGTTAAGAATGCAACCAGCATGTTTTGGCCACAGTTGCTGAAGGGTGTTTGTCGGTATCACATGTTGATAATCAGTCTAAAGAATCAGGTTAACATGAACCCGTTTCACAGTGCCCATAAAGTGATTGCAGTTTCTGTCTGTTTTGGGAGCCTAGATGAAAATAATACTTTGTTAGTGAGCATGCATATCAAGTATTCTTTATATCAGTAAAGCTGCAGCTGTGCTGTTTATTTTATTTCGGCATGGCTAAATTTGTGGAGAGCTGTGAATTGTTTTCAAAGCAGAGTATCCTCACCTCTCCTCGTATACCGCACATTACTCCCTAACAGCTCAACACACAACATTTCACCCACAGAAAGCCAACAGTGTCCTAATTCATCTGATAACAGAGTTATGGGGGAATTAATTACTTTACAAAACATCACAGTTGCTTTTCCTTCGACCACAGAATGGCCGCTAGGGGGCCTGCAGGAATAGATCAGTACAGATGAGTTAGACATCCAAATTGTAGTCCAGATTTTGCAACTAAAGGTAGAAATACAAATGCAAGAACAAACAGTCAATACTCAAAAAAAAATTGCATGTTATAGGAACTGCCACAGTGTTCTACAACAGATGCCATTCATTTTAAAGAAAGCACTGAGCACAATTCCTGCTCTCATCTCCAGGGGGTGCCAGAGAGATACCCTGAGGAGACTGGTACAATAGTCACCATTTCATGTTTACCCCTCCCTCTACTGTTGGGGTAATTAGGGCACCCAAATTCAGTGCCCACTGAACTAGTTCTATTGCATTATAGCCCACTGTGCACCAGAGCCTGGAATGTTTAAAAGTCTAACCCAACCTGCCATTCCTAGATTCTTACCTCTTCCTTATTCAACTAAAGATTTCCCTAAAAAGCCTGCACACAAACAATCTCTGTGCCAAATACACGTTATGTAACATTAGTAAGAATTTCGCAAAAACCCAATCTTCCTGGACAGAGGCCAGTTTTGCTATTTTAAATGTACTATCTACATTTTTTTCCCACAGTTGCTGAAGGGCGTCTGTAGGTACCACATGTACAAAGTCAATCATCGAACGACATCTTATCAGAAACCTTGTATTGTGACTCATGTATGCACATCTAGTATGTCTGGGAGTCGAATATGCATCGTGTTGATTCTTGTTTGCTGGTTTGTGGGGTGTGGGGTTGGATGTTTGGTTGCTTGTATATGTACTGCTTCATGTAAGTTTGTTGTGGTTGCTAGAGCAGCACAGCTGTAGAGAGCTCCATGCAGCTTATGAAGTAAAAGAGCATGAAAAATGATTGTGGTCTGTTCTCTGGGCCTCTGGTCAGCCACATAACAAATGTGATACAAAGACACTTTTTCAGCCAGAGCAAACAAAACAGCAGAGAAAGAGAGAAAACGAGATATTTTGATATGTCAATCACGCCATTGCCAGCCACACTCCACAGCTCAGCTTTGCAGGCTGAATATACCGTGTCACAGGAAGCTGACATAACCCAGCATAAAATCTTGATTGTTCTGCTTTGCTTATTCTGCAAACCATTGCAAACCAACCACTGCTTTACCCAATCTCCCTGTAGTATGTCATCATAACACCACTCCTACACCTCTGCACAGAGCTTCTCTGTAATTATACTCTTAAAATTATGGTTCCTGAGATGTTCTCGGCTTAGATGCACAAATCTAGGAAGAACCTTTAACTTCAGAATGTCAAATGTAGGGCCAGCAGGCCGGGACCGGCCTGATTATGGTTCTTATCCAGCCTAACAGATGAATTTAGAATCCATGTTCTAAATTAAAAGCATCTTCTAGATCAAAATTGACCCATTTGCTAAATAATGGTAGACCCTTTTCACAAGAAACGGAAGTGCATAAACGCT